CCAGGTGGACCTCATAGAATATGAGCTCCTTGATTGGGGCTGTTAACACGGTCCAATCGGGGAGCCCTGGCTGACAGACATAGACAGGACTGTCAGAGGTTCTGTTCACTTTGAGAGCTGGCGGATAGGAAGCCGGACCACTGTAAAGTACGAGATTATTTCTTCTCGACATTTTCTTCAGGATCCAGGCTAACAAGCCATTGTAATTGCTGATGGTATATGGACTCGAGAAAGCAAAAGAGTCCTACTGCACCGAGATTGTGTAAGAGAACTCATAGGCTGGCATCCAGGAGAGTGTATACCATGGAAAGTCCACTTGCATCTGGTTTGGAACTGTTAAATTACTCAGCAACACCCAAATCAGAACCAATCAAAATACACTTCAGGTGAAACGGTCACCCAGTGCTAATGGAGGTTGATACTGGTGCAGCTCCAACAGTGATTGCAGAATCAGTCTTTAACAAACTTCATTCTGCACTCCAACCATTAAGGTTGAGTAAGACCTCGGCTACACTGCGAATCTATCCTGGAGAACCTTGGATTGGTGAATTATTACGGAAAGTTATGACATAACCAGGTCTCTTTTCTGGCAACCTTATATCTGCTATTCAGAAAGTGGCAGCCGTGAAGTAAGAGTAGTAGCCAAGACATCGCCTTTAGGAAAGTGAAGGAGCAGCTATGATTGTCTAAGATATTGGCACACAATGATCCCAAGCGAGATCTGGTGCTGACATGCGATGACTCTCCGTACGGCTCATGAATGGCCCAATGGAGAGGAGCGCTCCCAAATGCATATACTTCCCTGATTGTGGCTGATGCAGAGCGCACATACACTCAGATAGAGGAAGAAGGTTTGACGGTCATCTTTGCTGTGAGGCAGTTCCATCAATACATAAATTTGTAACGGTAACTGACCACAAACCTCCGCTGGGTCGACTTGAAGAGGTCAAAGGGCCGTGCCACTCATGTCTTCAGGACTAATTCCAGCAGTAGGCTCTCATTCTAAGTGCGTACAATTACAAGTTGGAACATCATCCAGGAGGCCAAGTAGCCAATGCGGAAGCCTTGAGCTGCCTCACACTGGAAGATACACCACCAGTGGTGCTGCCACTGGAATAGTCCATTCTAGTTTTAAACTTTCTGGACATCCTTCCAGTTACCGCTGACAATATCAGTCTGTGGACGCAAAATGATCCAAACCTGGGAAAACTAAAACAGGTGGTGGTGATGGGGGAAACTAAAGGCCCATCACAACCGGAATTGAAACCTTTTGGCCCTGGAGAGACCAGATCTCCGTAGAGGGTGGCATTTTATTATGGAGAGCAAAAGTGATTGTCCTGCAAAATGGTTACTGCCGAATACTGTCTGGTCTCCTCCAGGGTCATTCAGGGGTTTCCAAGATGAAGATGTTGGCAAGAAGTTGTATCTGGTGGCCAGGTCATTGGATGCAGACTTAGCAGCATGGTTGGGGCAATGCCCAGAGTGCCAACAAGGACCAACATTACTGCCAACAGCTCCACCACATTCATGGAATGGCCCGGTAAACCCTGCATTCGGTTACACATCAACCCTGCCGGCCGATTAATGGGCTCAATCTGCTTAGTCATTGTGGATGCCCACTTAACGTGGCTGGATGTTGCCTAGAGTTCATTTGTCAAACAGGGATTGTAAAGCCGCAAGCATGCTTTGCAACACACGGACTCCTGGAAGTATTGGTCACTGACAACCAGCCATCATTTATCAGCAGGGAATTTGAGTATTTCCCAAAGTTGAATGGCATTCGGCATATAAGGACAGCTCCATAACATCCAATGGTCTGCTTCAAAGACCAGTCCACAATTTGAAGGCAGGTTTCAAGGAACAGCCTACAGCTTAACTCGATACCAAATTACCATGGTTGCTATCTGATTATCAGACCAAGCCTCATGCATCTACAGGGATAGCTGGGGTAAAGTTGCTGATGGAGAGAAGACTCCACACAAAATTAAATCTGATCTTCCCAGATCTGGGGAGGTTTGGTGAAACGTCATCAGGCACGCCAATCCCAAACACAAGACTCCTCTAACTGAGAGAGGCAGTTATTCAGGGGACAAAGTTTGGTGCCAAAACCACAGGAATGGAGGATAGTTGACAAGAGGTCAAATCCCCTGACATACCAAGTTCAGGGAAGTGAGGCAGTTCTGAACAAGCTCATGGACCACATGAAAGCTGCAAACCTGCAAATGGGTCAGCAGCAAAACATAAGCAGCTCTTCAGAACAACCGGAAATGCTGTCGGAACCCGTGGGTTTTCCACCTCGATCTAGCGTTGAAGAAACCTCGGAGTCTGAGATGTAAATGGCAGATGTCACAGTCTTGATGCCTTTCTTCCAAGGCACAAGAGGCAGGCTTGGGTCTGCTAGATGCCTCCCGTATCTGAGGTTGATTCAGAGTAAACAGGGCCGTTGTGAACACACCCCATGAGAAGCTACAGATAAAAATACGGACATACGTCCCAGGACTTTAAGGGGAAGGGAAGTAGCAATTGGAACGAGGAGAGCCAGGTGCGCTTCATAACTTGTAAGGTCTCTGATTGGGACTGTCAATCTGGTCCAAATAGGGAGCGCTGGCTGACAGATATAAACTGCAGAGTCAGAGGTTCTTCTCACTGCTACACTGCCCTTATTCCTGATTGCTCAACCCTAGGTTGTGTTCAGAGATGTCACTGGTGACTATGGAAGTGATTTTTCAGACATTACACCCAAAGCAAGGAAGTGCATGTTTCACAGGGAGGCATCCTGATATTCTGTAAAAACAGAGACCTGGAATGGTGAAATAGAATGAACTGAAACACAGTGGAACAGATGAAAAGGGCGAGTTGGAGGCTGAGATCGGGACATTGGAAAATAGCTGCATGTAGCATAGATAATATGCCCGATGGTGTCATAGCACATGGGGTGGTGAGTAGTTTAAATTAGAGGAAAATATTAATTTAATCTACCAGCAACACAACCTCCATGAAGTAATTCTATTAAAGCCAAAAACATATCAGCAAAGTTGCTTAAATATAAGAAATGTTCATTGAAAAAATAAATAAGACAAGGTTAGGGAGTGATTGCATGCAAGTAGTTTGTCACAGCTCCAGCATATGGGAGCTTGTGGACAATGTTGCAATTAGGCCACAAACCGTATGTTCAGTGAGTGTCTGCATCTCATGTGTCAGGTGATGTTACCCCCGGGCAAGTTAGATCCCTGACAGAAACCTGACTTGAAAAATGATATTTTATGTTGGTTTGGTTTGAATAAAGCAATATGGCCACAATGCTGCAGATTTTGCTTTGACAATAAAACAGAAGTTTGTTAACAAAGGAAGTAAAAATGAAATAGAATAAATCAAACTATCCACTTATGCATACTAATTCAAAATTCAGTAAAAATAAAGTGAAAGTATCCCAAAACACTCCCTTATAAATTGAAAACAAAACACGTCTCTTGCATATAACCTTAAACACAGCTGTACGGTACACCAAAATGCTACTCGTACAGTACGCAGTACTTACACTAGAGTCCCTGTCTGGATCACCTCGAGAGGTTTACCTCACTTGTGACTTTAACTTACAGAACAGAACTTCAGATAGCTTCTTCATCTTCATCGATTGACTTCACAGGACTGCTCAAAACTCAAAGTGCACCTGCAAAATATCTCCCTTTGGAAACTATAGGTGTTTCCTTTCATCATAAAGAATCCCTTTCCTCACCTTCTAAACCAGTTGTTTGGTGGTACAACCCTACCAATCTACATGAAAAAAAGACGAAAGTGAGGCCTCAAAAACTGATTTAAATGATATCACCAAAGCTACAAAAATATGTACAAGTTAACTATTAACTTCAGATCCAAGAAAATTCACTTGGTACTAATTCAAAAGCCACCAAAAAATGCAATCAATGTTATTTTAAAAAAATGTATAAATTGCATAACCTAGATTCACTGCACCCTTGGTCTAATTTGTAGAGTCCTGAAATTGGAGGCGACAGGGATAGTGTGTGTACTGTGTTTGGTTTTCCAGAATTTCCTAGAATCTCTGCTGGTCGCCACAGATTGGAAATTATCAAACGTTTTAATGGTACTGTTACAGTGCAATGCGTCTCTTATTCAGGCATTTCAGTCAATGATGTACAATTCAGCTGAAATGACCAACTTTTAATTTTCTGATTCTCCTTCCTTTTCCAGTGAGCCTCAGGTTTATAACTTAACCTTATAACCACCCTCACAAATATTTCAGAACAGAAGCTGTATTTTATGATATTGACAAACTGCCACACCAACTAAAAACCTCCAGAGCAGCTCGTCATTTCACCCTTTGAAGTCACTCCACCATTTAATAAGTTCATGGCTGATCATCCAGCTCATTGCCACCTTCCTCTCTACCTTTCTGTGTCCCACTAAAACCAACTCCTGACACTCAACCCCAACACTTACACTCAGGGAAGTTTGACTTCCTCACCACACAGCCCATTCTGTGGCCAAATCTAATTTTGAAGCCCTCTCCTCCCTCGTTACAAAACAATAAAAGTGTAGAACAAAGTTTCCAGCTGGCAATGTGGAGATGCTGTAGTAGCACCAGCCTGTATACTGTTCCTGTTTATTTATAGTTTGGTTACCACAGGAAAGATCAAATGCAGACAGTGCCTCTTCTCACAGGGTCAGAGTCAGAATATCTGAGTGACACTAGAAAATTTCGCAGGAAATGTTTGCTAACTTCCAACCCAGACTGACTAATGTTTACAAGGTATGGGGCATCATGTTTAAATGATTGCAATTCACAAAGGTTCCTTGGAAGGCAGTGCATTCAATCTACTCCTGTATCTTTGAAAGTGAAGATTGCTTTCAATAGGAAATCTGGGATCGGGATGAAATATTTAGCAGTAAAAAGCTCTTCAAATTGATCGTGTGAACCCAGTATCAAATCACCCTGCGTCACTGCTCAGCGAAGGTACTGTACAGAGTGTCGAAAGGAAATGGAAAGTGAAACCGATCAGAACAGGCAGTATCTGTTTTAGCAGCAAAGCTTTGTTTGCTACTGGCGATTACTTCATTTATCACATAACAGTACCGAGGGAAGATGTGAGGAAACGAAACTTCGGCTCAGCCCCTATTTTTTTCTCTCAACGAGCAGGCAATCAGAGGCGAGCAAAGAAATGACGTTCGGAAACCGGTTCGGAGAATAAAAAGGAGGGCAGCAGAGACAGAGAGAGAGAGACACCCCAGGGAGACAGAGCCGAGAACCGGGTACTTCCAGTGGACGGACGGACGGACTTCTCGTTCACATATTGCATCCAGATCGTGGAGCCGGCGCGGATAAAGCAGGTGGAAGACAAAGTGCTGAGAAAGGAGCCTTGGGAACGAGTCTGCTGTTTAACTTTCCTGAAGCGGAACCTCCAGCGAGGATTGTGAGTTCATTTCGTGTTTTTTTAGGGGAATGACAGAATTCTGTTTCTGGTGTGTGAATTTGTTTGCATAGACAGTGGTCTGGAGCAAGTCAGCAGTTCCGGCAGTGTGTGTGTGTGTGTGTGTGCACAGATCCGGGGGAACGGTCCCAGTCTGGTCTGCCTCCTCAGCACTGCTCCTGCCAGAACTGCCGAGATTTTCCATCGTTTTCTGGACGTCCGATTCCCAACATCGGCAGGCTTTTCCCTTTATTCGAGTGTGTGTTCTGAATCTAATTAGCGCCACTTTGATCAATTATTATTAAAAGAGATGTTAAAAATCATTTAAAATCTCAAAGCGGTTTGGAGGTAAAGATCTGGCGTTTTACAAGCCATCCGCGTGTCTGCTGTTATTATGTGGTCTTGAACTGTTTAAAATCTGGAATTATGGAAGATGACAAAAGTGAGACTCGTCTGGGGAGTTCTGACTGTGTCACCCTGAAACTCAGTAACAATTTAACATAAAGGAATATCCTTTACTAAATGGTGACAGTGAAGAGAAGGGCAAGTTGAAACTGCAAATGCAGTGTCCGGGAGAAGTGCGATAAATGATTTCTGCATCTTGGTTTCGGGCAGTCTAGTCCAATTTCAGGCTGAGTGCAGGATCTCATACAAAGTGGAGTTATCCCGGACCAACTCCATCCCATGAAGGAAACGGTGTTTTTTGTTTCTGCTGTGGAGACCCCTGCTGTTGGTTTCTTCAATCTGTTGAGCGCTCCGGATTAGTTAACCCCTGCTCTTCTCATTTACATTTTCTAAAATTACACAGTTTACCTGAAGTTATTTGTGAAACATAAGCCTTTGGTATCTCTGCGCTTTTGTGCTACAGTGGTTGTATCTGTACCTCTCAGTCAGAAGGCGTACGTTCAAGCCCCACTTGGTTCATGGACATGTCAGGACACACCTGACCCAGTTAATATGAACCAATTGAAGCATGGCTTGCTACTGTCCACGCATTGGACTTTATTTTTCAGAATATCAGTTTCAAAATTATTTCATGCTCTGTTTCTCCCCCATTCAAACTGGAAAACAGATGTAATATGTAAATAGTGTGGATTTGGGAATCTGGGAAGGTGAGGGAAATGTTTTTGCCGCCAGTGGGATATCAGTTTTGTTTTCAGTGGTGCTGCAATCTAGTTCAAAAACAACAAAGAAAAACTCTGCGTAGGTGCTGGCTGACATGTTCACTGTGTTCAGCAGGCCCTGACTTTGTGTGCAGGCTCCCTTCAGTTGGAAATCAATCTTTGAGAAGACATTTGATTGAATTGGGTGCAGAGTAAGTGCAGTTTAGTTCCCTCGATTCTGTCAACATCTGGATAAGCCATTGCATGCTCAAAATGGTCTGATACAACAGAGACACAATACACAGCATTCCCATCACTAATATGGTGTTCATTTCTCAACAGCAGTTTGACAACATGAGACTCCAGGTGAAGTTTATGACTGGTGATGTTGTCTCACTTGATATCAACACTTCCATCCAAGTGTCAGCTCTCAAGATGATGATATATCAGAAGACCAATGTGCCTGTTTACCAACAGCGTCTGGTGATACAAAACGGGAACACGCAAGAGCTGAAGGATGACAAGAGGCTGTCTGACTACTGCGTCCCTCCCAGTAACACTGTCATTCTGATCGTCAAGAATGAGGATCGCATGCAGATATTCCTGCAGAATGATAAGGGAAAACTGTCTACATACGATGTTCTTCCCTCTGAGTCTGTTCGGGAGTTTAAACAACGTGTACAACGACAGGAGGGAGTCCCAGCCAATCAGCAGCGCCTGATGTATGACGGGAAACAGCTGGAGGATGGCCACTCACTCTCTGACTACAATATTCAGCCAGAGAGCACTATCTTCCTCCTGCTGCGTCTGCGGGGTGGCTCACTGTGACAGCGCCAATACTTGTCAAAATCTACTGTTTTACTTTCCAATTATAAAATTCCTATACAGTAAGGGATAACAGTTAGTAAGTTAATGATCTTTTGGCTGTCACTCTTGGTCTGTATAGCACACAAAAGTGGGCTACTCCCTGCCCATATTCCTGAAGTGTATATGCAGACCATAGCTAGCAGGTGCAATCAGCAAGAGATATTCCAGGGCAAGGAGGGCAAAAAGAACGTGAAAAGGGAAGTGGCAAGTATTTTTTATTGAATAAATGTTGTCAAA